TCGTTCCTGGGGCTTCCAGGTGCTCTCGCTCAGCTCAGAGCTGGGCCCTGCACCAGCGCCTTCAGCTAGGATGCTCTGCTCTGGTTATGATGGACATGGACTGAGCCGGGCAGCCCTGGTCACCGTGCTGCAAGCAGCTTTCATAGGGAGGCCACGCAAAGCTATTTGTTCACGCTCCAGCCCCAAAAGCACCCAGAGCTGGGGCAGAAAAGCTGGGAGTGGGAAGCACAACCCAAGACCCCTCCAGGTCGCCTCCCAACGGACAAAAATCTTGTCCCTGTGTAAAGGAACTCTGCTCATCCAAGGTCTCCGCTGGGGCGGATGGGAGCCCCCGGGGGTGGGGAGCGGCGCCGGGGCCTCCCCATGCCCACACCCATTGCGAGCAACACCCCCTGGGGGGGGGCGGATCCCCCCCCCCCCCCCCGCCGCGCCGTCCCCTCGGAGCCGGGGTTGGGAGCCCCGGGGCCGCATCAGACAATGACCCCCCCCGTCGTGCTGAGCCCCGGAGGGGCGCCGGGAGCGCCGCGCGGAGACAATGGGCGGTGCGCATTATGGGGGGGGGGGAGCGGCCGGGAACAGCGTCGGCGCGGGCGGGGGCTGCGGGGCGGTGCGGGGCCGCCGGCGGGGCGGGAGCTGCCGGCCCGGGGCGCGGTGGGGCCGGAGAGTGCGGAGCTGCGGGACCGCTCCGCCGGGATCTGGGGCTTCCTCCGCCTTCTTCTCCTCCTTCTCCTCCTCCTTCCTCCTCCGCCTCCTCCGCCGCAGCCTCGGGATCCCGCGGCTCTCGGTGCGGGGGGGACGCGCACAAAGGTGCGGGGCGCGGTGAGTGCGGAGCGTGGGGCGGGGGCCGGGTGGGGGCGGCGGGGCCGGGGCTCAGCGGTGCGCTGGAGGGTTGGGGGGTGGGGGATACGGAGACTTCCGTGGGCCGCGGCCCGGCGGGGGGAAGCGCTGCGGGGCGGGAGGGGACGCGGGGGGCAGCGCGGGGGATGCTCGGGCCCAGCCGGACCGGCGTTGGGTTTTGCCGTGCAGTGATTGCGGATCTCAACCCTCCGTGCCTGAGCTCTTTGTGTTTCCTCTGAGCAAAGCGGGGCACGGGGGTGGGCACGGGGCTGGGGTCGGGATAGGGAGGGGAGCGGTGAGGTAGGGGCTGCCCGGTACCGCTCACCTGCTGGGACAGCCCCGTTCGGGCCGGGCTCGGTCTGTCCCGATGCTGTGAGCTCCGTGTCCCGTGTGGAGCTGCGATCTCCGGGAGCAAGGAGCTGAACCCTCCACACCCCCCCCGCCAGGCCGTGTTGTAATCACCGAGGCGGAGGCTTGGGGAGAAAAATAATAACAAGAGAGAAGAATTAAATATTATCTTCACGGGGCCCCTGGGGACGGCTGTTACTTAATCACAGCGGTTGGGATTGTGTTGGGACCGAGCCGGGCTCGGGGGCAGCCCCAGCGCGATGCGATCTGCACACAACCCGGTGTTGCCTTTGTGCTGGGGGAGTGCTGAGTCGGGCCGGGGGGGGGGGGGGCGGGGGGCATGGCAGAGGGCTCCGTGGGAGCTGCCTGGGATGCTGTGTGCCCGTGGCTCCTGGCACTGTGGAATATGGGGCAGCCCAGACCCCTCCTGCTGTTCCATCAGCAGCGCCCATCATCCCTGCAGGGTTTGGGGTCTTTGGGATGGCTCTGTGTTTGTGGTACCCACACGTTCCTGGGATATGTGGTGCTTTGGGAATGCTTCGCAGCTGGCAGTGTTGGAGGAAAGCTGTCCTGTCTCGGGGGAGTCCCTGCTGGGAAGGGTTACCCCAGGAAGGGCATTGCTGGTGCTCACTCCTCCGCCAGGATTGCTTTAGCTGTTTGGGTGATGCGATGCGGTGTCTCGTTTGGATCTGATCGCAGACAATGGGGCTGGAGGGGACATGGGGGAAGGTGAGAGCTCATCTCCCAGCATCAAGCACAGCTGAAGCAGCTCCAGGTCTTCGGTCTGAGCACATCTGAGATCTCAGCTCTGTTCCTGAGGGCCGGTGTGGCCAATGGATGCTTTATGGCTTTATTGTTTGGCCGGGATGTTGGGCAAGGCCCTGGAGCAGCAAAGGCATGGCTCTCCTCACCTGGCTGCCCCACATGGAGCTGTCACAAGGTGATGGAATGGGGCTGGAGTCACTGCGAGACCAAACCACATCTCTGCCACCCCCAGTCCTGTGCTGCCTTTCCAGCTTGGAGCCATGGACACCGCCGTCTGCCCGTCGCAGCCCTGCAGGATTTAGCATCAGGCACCTGGAATGGATTAAACAGAGCTAGAACACATCTCCAAGCGCTGTTGTTTATCCAGCGAGCGTTGCTTTGGGGTAGGAACTGTGCTTTGTGGCATCGCTGTGGTGCATCGGAGCTCCCCACGATGCTTTTGGAGAAGCAACGCCCCAAAACTACGGTGTGGGACAGCACACAGCCCTGCTCTGCCCCAGCACCTCATGGACGTCTGGGACTGATGTGACCACACGGCTGTCACTCCATGGGTGCGCATGGAGCAGGAGCAGCACATGGTGATGCCCTGGGAGCTGCATGCCCTGCGCTGGGCTGAGCACCACAGTGCTGTCCCATTTGGAGCAATGCAGCAGCAAGCAGAGCGCTTTGCAGGGCAGGGAAAGGTGCAGCTGAGTTAGGCTCATGGGAGCTGTCACGTTTTGCAATGCAAATGGTTTTCTCTTTGCAGCGAGCCCTCATGCAAATCCCTTGCTTTTGGTGCATTTTCTGGTTCTGCACCTGGCACGGCCCTTCCTACCTGCATGGAGGCAGCGGGTGCTCCGAAGTGGAGCTGCAGCAGGGGGATGGCTGTGCTTTGTCTGTTGCAGCACAGTGGGAATCCTCGGGTGCTCACAGGACGTTCCTGTGGATATTGTAACAATCCCGCGTGATCGTAATTAAAGCTGGCAGTTGGGAAAGGATATTAAACCTTCTGCATCCAAGCTGACGCTGAGCAATTTGAGAGCAGAATGGGACCCCATGGGGGAATTGGATTAAGCTGCTTGGTCTTCCCATGGGCTGTCTGTGCGTCCCACTGAAGCTGCTGGCCCACGGATCTCTTCCCACGTGGAAGTTTGCAGAGTCCTCTGTGGGAGCGTGATGGTGGCACCTCGGGGCATTCGGCATCCGACAGAGCAGAGCAACCCCTTTGCAAGGGCTGCTTCCCAGTATGGGGCTCCAGGCAGCAGGAGGAGACGTGACGAGGAGGTGCCAGGTGGGGAGAGGGCTCTGTGTTTGTGCCATAGTGGGGAGATGCTGTGCCAAGTGGTCACGGCTCCTGCCTGGTCCTCTCCATCTCCACTTCCTTGCAGAGCACCCACGGAGCTTTCTGCATTGTGTATCACCTGTGGGTGTCTGGCAGCCTCCTGCATCCCAGGGATGCACCCACAGCCGCTGCTCTGTTCCTGTCCCCGTTGATTGTGGGGTGCAGGGGGGCAGTGGTGACTGTCATTGTAAAAAGCCAAGGCAGTGGCTGCCCAGGGACCAGTGCCTATTGAGCGAAGGCAGCAAGGCGTGGTGATGCAGTGGAGCGAGCAGATGTGCTGGGTGCAGGGCTTGGCAGAGCCAGCACCGGGGCAGGAGTTGCCCTGGCTCCCAGGCTGTGGGGAGCTGTAGGTTTGGAGGCTGCATTGGGTCTGTTTTGGGGGCTGTGCTGGAGCCACAGCCTGTGCCCACCTGGTACCCCACAGAGGGATGCTCATTGTGCTGTTTCCTGGATCAGCCTTGCCAAGGCCAGCCTAAAAGTCACTATGTGAAGCATGGCTGAGTGTCCCATAAGGTTTCCTGCTTGTGCCTCAGTTTTCTCTGGCAGCCCTCTGGGCTTGCAGCAGCAGTTGAGCTCTACGCTGGAATCCAGGACCCCAGGCCCCCAGTGTGATGCTGCTTGACCCAGTTTCCCTATTGCTTTACTGCATTGAGGAGGGAAATGCTCACCCCTCCATGGTTTGCAGGTGTTCCCTGCTGCTGCTTCTGCTCAGCTGTTCTGGTGGGAAACAGCAATGCTTTGTCCCTCCAGCAAATGCCATCTCTGTCTCTTGCACATTCATGGTCTCCTTGATGCTTACAGTCCCAGTGGTGAATGGGATGGGCAGAGAGTGCCCCATAACGTCGTTTTGCTCTGCCTTGCTGGGGAGAGGAAGAGCAGGTTTGCTTGTTGGGCTTTTCCCCGGAGCTGTTTGAAATCAGAGAGCTTTCCCATACAGAAGCACTTGGATCTTTTGGGGTCATTTGAATACAAGGGATCGTTGGTGTTGGAGATGTATGGGCTCAGGGGTGGGGAGATGGCAGCTCCTTCTGCCCCCATGTGCTGGGGGCCCTCAGCCCCATCCAAGCTCTTGGCACTTTGAAGCCATGATGCACTGCAGCCGCATCCCAAACGCCATCCAGTCTGGACTTGAAGATGTCAAGAGATGGCAAAGCCTCTCCTCCCCTGGGGAGTTTGTTCTAATAGTTAATCACCTCGCTATTAGAAAAGTGAGTTTTCCTCCTCATTTGCCTGTGTCTGGCTGTGGCTCCCAGCCCTCGGCACTGCTTTGCTGGCGCAGGGGAGGGCAGAGCCAAGGAAACCATTTCCAGCTCCTCCACCTGTGCTGTCGAACCGGCTTTCCCCCCCCCCCCCCCCCCCCCCGCCAGGTGAACTTTTCTTTTTGAACAGCAATAATAATAATAATAAATCCCTGTCCTGATACTGGCTCAAGGAAGGATCGGGTCTGAATGGAGCCGGGACCCATGGGTGATGCAGGAGGGGCTTTGTTCTTCCCTGAGTGGGGGTGGGAGGGAGGGTAGCAGGGTGGGTGATAGCAGGGAGGGGACAGTGCACGATGCACAGCACGGTGAGCTGTGCTGTGAGGCTGCTGGGCTCGGTCCCCCGAGGTGAGCCTGTCCTTTGCAGGTGGCCGGGGAGGTGACCTGCTTAGGATGCTCACGGTGAAGATCCACAGGAGGGGACGTGGTGGGGCAGGAATCCTCCTTCCCTCCTGACTCCCCTTTCCTTTTTCCCCTCAGCTTGGAGCCCGACGTGTGAGCAGTGCCCATGCCCCATTGCTCGCCAGCTGGATGCCGTCCCCTCTGCATGCTGACGATGCCCCGCGCGCCCCGGTGACCACTCAGACGGGGACAGCACCCGTCTGCAGCTCGGCTGGTGAGTCCTGCTCTGTCCCCAAGCTGTCCCCAAGCCCCGTGGCTCCTCCAGCCCACGGTGTCCAGCTCCTTAATGGCGCTAATGAATAGGGTTGGGGAAAAGCCCAGCCATGGCCCCCTGCGCCAAGCATTGTTCCTGCCAGAAACCCGATCCCGGCCTCCCAACAAAGCCCAGAAGAAAGGGGGGGGGGGGGGGCGCCCCGGGGGGCCGGGGGGGGGTCCCTTTCTCCCTGCCCCTTCCCCCATCGCTCGCTGGGGACGCCGGGACGAGCTCCCAGCCCCGCTGCCATCTCCTAGACAACCGGCATGGGGGGGCTTTTGTTTCCATAGTGATAAATGTGCGAGCATCCAGCATCTGGGACAAAAGGGGGTCCTTGTCCATCCCCCCCCCCCCACCCCACTCCCCTTTGCTTCTTTTTCCCCTCCTCGACCCCATCTCTCCCTCTCCGAGGCCAAAAGACATTTGGGTTTTATTTGGTCCAAATAGCATTTCCCTGGTAACCTACCCACCCAAACACAGGCGGCTCTGGTGTGCACTGGGGTGGGGAGGGGGGGGCTGAGTGGGGAGTCAGGGTGCTGATGGTCATCAGGGATCTAGAAGAGGCAAGCAGGGGGCTGCCACCTCCCTGGTGGGTCTGGATATCCCCCAGGGGTATCACTGTGGCCACCCCTCAATCTGAGTCCCTCTCTTGCAGCAGATGGGGCACGAGCAGCACTCCAGCCCCTGAGCCATGCATTGTTTTCCCAGTTCAGCAGAGATACAGCCCAACGCAGGCATAGGTGGGCACACCGCATGCATCCACACTTATGTGTGTATGGGCATTTCCAATGCACACAGCTGCAGTTTGAGGCTGGGGTCCCATCCTTGTGCCCAGAGCCCCCAGCCTCACTGTGTCCATGGGGCTGCACTGATCAGTGTGAGATGGCAGCTCCGTGTTGGGAACTTGTTTGGGCAGAGCCCCAGACTGTGAGTGGGGCTGGAGCCTGCGCCAGGCTCTTTTTTCTTTTCTTTTTTTTTTCTTTCTTTTTAAAGTTGGCTCCCACCCCAGGCACTCTCTTGGCAAAATTAAAACAACGATTGTGATATTCATTAAAGTGTAAATCACCTGAAAGAGCTCGGTTCAAAGCTCACGGTACGAGGTGGCAGTCCTGGAACCAGCTTGGGTCTAAAATGCAAGATGCCCCAAAAAGCCCCAAATTTCTCCATCCTTTGCCTGCTGAGCTCCTGTTTCATAGGGACTGCAGGCAGGTGCTGGCCCTATCGCAGCCATGGGGATGCTTACGGGCAGCAAAACACCAGGAGTCCCATGGTGTGGGTGTGGGGGCCGTGGCAGTGCCCTGAGCCCGTGTTTCCTCCCCCTGCAGGCGGCCGTTCCCATTTCTCCGAGCACAGCCCAGCCCAGCATTCAAAATAGAGTCCCTCAAGGTGACGGTCGACTTCCTGAAGGTGCCCCTTGGCCTGAAGAAGCCCCCTCTGAAGGAGGCCGTGGCCATCCCGGGGTCAGGCAAAGCCAAGCCCCCCGGCGTGGAGCGGCACAAACCCCGGCGTGCCGACAGCATGGACAATGAGTCGCAGTACTCGGGCTACTCCTATAAATCCGGGCACTCCCGTAGCTCCCGCAAGCACAGGTGAGGACTGGTGTGTGCTTGGGGGGTCCTCGGTCTCCAACCTGGACGTGCACCCACCCTGCTCACCCCCCCCACCCCCCTATGCCTTGCAGGGACCGAAGGGATCGGCACCGCTCCAAGAGCCGGGATGGGAGCCGTGGGGACAAGTCAGTGACCATCCAAGCACCAGGAGAGCCTCTGCTGGACAATGAATCGACCCGGGGGGATGAGAGGGTGAGGATGGGGTGAGGGGGGTGTGAATTGTGGGTGTCAGGGCAGGGGGGCATGTGGAAGGAGATGGGGCTGCTGCATGAGCTGCCCTCCCGCTGCCCAGGGTAGAAAATGCCTTTTGGATCAGCTCTCTTGGGATTGGTGCCTTTGGGAGTGGTTTCTATGGGATCAGTGCCTTCAGAATCAGTTCCCTTGGGATTGGTACCTTTGGGATCAGCTCCCTTGGGATGGGTTTCCTTGGGATCAGCACCTTCAGGATCGGTTCCCCTGGAATCAGCTCTCTTGGGATTGGTGCCTTTGGGAGTGGTTTCTTTGGGATGGACGCCTTCAGAATCGGTTCCCTTGGGATTGATGCCTTTGGGATCATCTCCCTTGGGGTTGGCGCCTTTGGAATCAGCTCACTCCGGATCCACTCCGGCTCTTTGCTCAGCGCCTGCAGGGCGACGCCGCCTGGCCCTGCCAAGCTTTAATAACCCCAGCTCCAGCTTTGGGAGGATCAAACAGACGAGCGGGTTTGTGCAGCTGGGTGAACTCTGTGCTGGTGGTGCGAGACCTGCAGCCTCCAGAGGGCTGCTCCAGCCCAAGTTGTGCAGCACTGACCCTGAGAAGCGATGCTCTGCATGGACACAAAGGGTGCTTGGAGGGGTCCAAGCTATGTGCCAGCTCCTCCATCCTTTTCGCTCCCCACCCCTCCAGAGAGCCCCTGCTGGGGGTGATTCTGCTGCTCCAGTATGGAACGAAGCCTCCAGCATGTGGAAATTCCAGGACGAAAATCACAATTTCATCTTACACAATAGAACCTCCAGCTTTGGTTATGCCAGAGCAGAACAAGAGGATGGACGGACAGACAGACCCTCGGTGTGTCAGAGTGGTGTTTCCTATGGCTGTGTGGTGACGTCTTTTCCCTTTGCTGAAGCTTTGTGTGCTAACTGGGAAGGGAATGAAGCTCATATCCACACCTGTGTGACTTCAGTGGAAATAAAAAAGAAATGAATGGACCCGGGGCAGCTGAGCTGCAGGACTGCCTCACTGTGTTTGGGAAGGGATGTGCCAGCTGCTGGATCTTTTGCACGGAGGTTTTGCAGTAAATGTATCTGAAGAAAGCAGCAGACCAACAAAAAAAACCAACATACCAATGAGGAAAAGAGGCTTAAGATCTCAGCAAACTGCTGCATTCTCCGGGGAGAGATGCATACCCCAAAATGCACTCATGGGGAGCCGGCGTTTGCCTGCCAGCGCCGATCACCACCGATCTCATTCTGCCTGGTGCTGGAGCTGCACGGAGGAGGAGGCAGCGGCTGCGTTAGGACGGGGCTGGGCATGTTGGCTCTGGCCCTGCTAATGAGGGGATTTGCCTGGAAACAGAATGCCTTCCACTTGCAGAGCCGCTCTCGGCCGCGTCGCGTGTGTGGGGCGGAGAGGTGGAGCGCAGCACGGAGCCTCCGACGGGGATTTCCTGCAGGGCGCTGCCTGCAGCGCTGTCCCTCGGCTGCTCAATGGGGGTGATGGCTCCGGCCAGCACGCCAGGCTTGGAGGTCTGAGTTTGGGGGGTGGGGGGGGGGGGACACCGGGCTGCGTTGGGATCCCGCGGTGCTGCAGCCTCACGTTTTGTAACCCTCTCCCCTCCCCAGGATGACAACTGGGGTGAGACCACCACGGTGGTGACGGGGACGTCGGAGCACAGCATCTCACACGATGACATCACACGCATCACCAAGGACATGGAGGACAGCGCGCACCTGGACTGCTCACGGCACTTGGGCGTCGCGCTGGCCGGGGCGTTGGCTCTGCTCGCCTTCCTCACCCCTCTTGCCTTCATGCTGCTGCCCCAGCTGCTGTGGCGGGAGGAGCTGGAGCCCTGTGGGACACCCTGCGAGGGGCTTTTCATCTCGGTGGCCTTCAAACTCCTCATCCTCCTGCTGGGCAGCTGGGCGCTCTTCTTTCGCCGCCCCAAGGCCTTTTTCCCGCGCGTCTTCGTCTTCCGTGCGCTGCTCATGGTGCTCGTCTTCCTCCTGGTCGTCTCCTACTGGCTCTTCTACGGCGTGCGCATCCTGGACTCGCGGGACCGCAATTACCAGGGCATCGTGCAGTACGCTGTCTCGCTGGTGGACGCGTTGCTCTTCGTGCACTACCTGGCCGTGGTGTTGCTCGAGCTGCGCCAGCTCCAGCCCCAGTTCACGCTCAAGGCCGTGCGCTCCACCGACGGGGCCAGCCGCTTCTACAACGTCGGGCACCTCAGGTGCGGGGTTGGGGAGCGGCACCGGTGGTTGGGTGGGTTCAGGCTGTGCGGGTGCTTGTGCACTCCCATGTGTGTGTGCATCTTTACGTGTGCGTTTTGTGTGCACATCTGCATTCGTGCGTGTTTTGCGTGTATGTTCATGCACGTGCAGCTGGATGTGTGCATGCTGCATCCTGCTGCGCTCCTGCAATCCCTGACCAGAGGAGCTGTGAGTGCCCGGGTGTCCCCTGCAGTGAGATCTGTGTTTGGAGTGCCAGCTCTGTTCCTCCCTCCTGTCCTGTCCCCGTGTGCTAACCTGCTCTCTGTGCCCTGAGCCCGCTGTGTCTCCCTGCAGCATCCAACGAGCAGCCATCTGGATCCTGGAGAACTATTACCACGATTTCCCAGTCTACAATCCTGCCCTCCTCAACCTGCCAAAATCCGTCCTGTCCAAGAAAATGTCCGGGTTTAAAGTCTATTCCCTCGGCGAGGGTGAGCTCCCGTTCCCTTGACTTCTCCTCTTGTTCCCCCTCTTCCTGTCCCAGTGTTTCCCCCCCCCTCACCCCCCGCAGGCTCCATCCCATGCTGAGCTCCCAGCCGGTCTCTCCGGATTTGCATGCATTTGTCGCGGGCAAGCTGGGTGCCGGTTTCCAAGCCGCAGCAGTACCGCCCTGCTGCAAGCAGGAGCACGTCGGGCGCGTCCATGGGATGGGGCTGTGCTGGCAGCACTGGGAAGGGGAACATCTCACCCCTTTTCCTGCAGAAAATACCACCAACAACTCCACGGGGCAGTCCCGGGCCGTCATCGCTGCGGCTGCCCGCCGGCGTGACAACAGCCATAATGAGTACTACTATGAGGAGGCAGAGCATGAGCGCAGGGTGCGGAAACGCCGCGCCAGGTATGGGGACGTCAGTGGGGAGTGGGCTATGGGGGGCTCTAAAGAACCGTCCCAGGATCTCCCCGCCGCAGGGAGCTGGGATGGAGGGAGCAGATTTGAGTCTCCCCAAAGGTGCTGGGCTGGGAGTTGGAGCAGGGTGGTGGTGCTGGGGTGAAGTGCTTTTGGGGTTGATGCTGGAGTTCAAGTCTGGGCTGCGGGGTGGTGAGGTGCCAGGTGGCTCCTCCAGGCTCCTGGGGACGGGGCCACATCCAAGTGGCTTTTGGAGGTCTCCAAGGGGGACAGCATGAGTGTTTCTCGACAGGCTGGTGGTGGCAGTGGAAGAGGCTTTCACCCACATCAAGCGGCTGCAGGACGAGGACCAGAAGAATCCACGGGAGATCATGGACCCACGGGAGGCAGCCCAGGCCATTTTCGCCTCCATGGCACGGGCCATGCAGAAGTACCTGCGCACCACCAAGCAGCAGCCCTACCACACCATGGAGAGCATCCTGCAGCACCTTGAGTTCTGCATCACCCACGACATGACACCCAAGGTGTGTGGAGTGGGCTGGGGGATCCTGGGGTGGGTTTGCCCAGCCACGTGAGAGCATCTCTCATCAGGGTGAGGGGTGGGAGAGCAGTGCTGTGCTGTGCAGCTGGAAAAGTGGGTGTGACAGCAAGGGAGGGATGGATGGGGCAGGTTCCCAGCTGCTGGGAGGCTTTTCCTGCAGGACCTGCTGGGCAGCTCGGGGCTGCAAATAAATAGAAATGTGAGCAGTGTGAAGGTGATGTTCACACGTCTGTCCTCCTGCAGGCGTTCCTGGAGCGGTACCTGAGCGCCGGGCCCACTATCCAGTACCACAAGGACCGCTGGCTGGCCAAGCAGTGGACGCTGGTCAGCGAGGAGCCAGTGACCAACGGTCTGAAGGACGGGGTGGTTTTCGTGCTGAAGCGCCACGACTTCAGCCTGGTGATCAGCGCCAAGAAGATCCCTTTTTTCAAGCTCTCGGAGGAGTTTGTGGACCCCAAGTCGCACAAGTTCGTCATGAGGCTGCAGTCTGAGACCTCCGTGTGAGCACACAGAGCGCTGCAGGGGCTCCAGGGTGGCCTGGGTCGTGCAGGTCCCTGAGCACCAAGCCCCATCCCTGGCACGAGGCCGCTCGGTGCCCATCCCCACGCTCCCACACCCAGCTCCTCGCAGCCATCCCCAGGAGGCACTGCCAGCACAGCACAGTGTCACAGCCAGACGAGCAGCATCTCAGTGCCATCCCCCCAAGGGCTGACCTTTGGCTGAGTTCTCTGCACCAGCAGCCTCGCTCGTGGCCAGGTCTGAAGCATCTCCTGCGTCTTCCTCTTCTGCTGCGACCGCTGTGTCTCCGGTCTTAAAGCACCACCTGTGTCTGGGCTGGTTGGTAATAACGACACTTCGGGAGTGTTTTGCAAACCCCTGTGATCTGAGGCTGCTATGGAACCATCTCTCTGCCCCATGGCCAGGGCAGACCCCACAGGCACGGTGCTGCTGCCACGGGAGACCCTCAGCTCCCCACTGCTTTGGGCATGGAGCTCCTCACAGAAGCAGGAGGTCTGACGATGAAGCTGAGAAACATCCCAGCGCTGTGGGTACCCCAGCCCACCTCCGGCTCCCAGCACACCCCTCACATAGGGCCGTTACCCCCATTCCAACGTGTGCTGGCTGCCAGAACCACAGAATCACTGAGATTGGAGAACATCATGGAGTCCACCCGTCCATCATCACCACCAACAGGGCCGGTGAAGGGCTGTGGGATTTGGGGTGCAGCACCCCATGGCTTGCAGTGGGACAAGCCCAAAGTTACCCCCAGGCCTTGGTGCTGGCCCCAAAGGGCTTCTTCATGGGGACTGTGCTCTGTGGGCTCCTCGGCTCCTGTCCCATGGAGGTGGTGATGAGGTGACCCCCAGGGGTGCGGGGCAGGGGGACCCCAATGCTCAGGGCTGCACCACAGCTTCTGCCTTCCCTCAGCTGTGTGAGGGCTGCCAATACCTCATGGGGGTTTCCTGTATTTATCCATTTTTCATGCTGGGGGTCACCCCGAGCCAGGTTTGGGCTTCTTTGGCCCTGAGAGCTACCAAACCTCATCACTGTGACACACAACATCCCCCCCTATCCGAGGGGCTGGGGGCTTCCCAGTAAGCACCAGTAGCAGAAAGCAGATCCAAGTGGATTTCGAGGGCTTTCCCAGCACAAAATGGGTGGGTTGTAGCGTGTGTGTGGGAAGGGGGGGGGGACTGTCCCAAATTCCCAGGGATTTTTCTGGAAATCTCTTCTATTTTCCAGACTTTCTGTGGCTTTGTGACTCCGCTCAGCCCTGTGCAGCTTCCAGTCCCGTTTACACACGCAGCCCTTTGGGGTTGGTGCCGCCAGGAGCCCAATTTGGGGTTGTTTTACTGCAAAAAAAAAAAAAGAAAAGGAAAAAGAATTCAGTGAGCAAAAGCAGATCTGGAGGCCTTGGGAAGGTTTGGGGGGACGGGGGGGGGCCGCCCGGTGTTCCACTCTTGGAATTTAAAGAGGAATAAACTTTCTTTTTGTTGTTCTTAAATCCCCGCGGAGCCGAGACCTTGTGCATGTGTGTAGAGGGAGAAAGAAAAAAAAAACAGAAACAAAAACAAAAAAAAAACCCCAAAAAAACAGAATTGTAAAATTGTTTTTTTAATATATAAAAAAAAAAAAAAGAAAAAAAGCTCGTTTTTTTTTTTTACAGTTTGCAGTGTTAGGAAGTCGGATGGTGTTTTTGTTGATTATTTTTTTTTTTTTTGTTATTATTATTGTTTTATTTTGTTTTTTAAATAGAAGAACTAAAATGATCCTTTTTTTTTTTGGTTTTTTTTTGTGTGTTTTTTTTAATAAATCCATTGGATATTTTTTGGCTTTGTCTTCCCCCTCCCCCCCCCCATTCCCCCCTTTCCCCTCTCCCACCTGACATCTGCAGTGCCATATGTGACCTCTAGAGAGCACGATGGGGAGGGATGGCATCCTGCCCTGCGAGCTGTGGGACATGGGTTTGTGGGGCTGATGTTTGGAGTGTGTGGGAGAAAGGATTTAGGGTTTGTGGAGCCCAGGGTCTAAGGCTGACACGGCCAAGGGTTTGAGGTCAATGGAACCAAGTGTTTGGGTTTATGGGGCCGTGCTCTTGGTGTTTATGGAGGCAAGGATTTGGTGTTGATGGAGGCGAGAGTTGGTGGCTCGTGGAGCTGTGGGTTTGGGGGTTGTATAGACGAAATGTTGGGTTTGATGAGGCCATGATTGGGGATTTATGGGACCAAACGTTTGGGGATGGGGTTAGCGAGGATTTGGGGTTTGCGTGGCCAATGGTTGGGGATTTATGGTGCCAAGGTCAGGGTTTCTGGGGGATGTAACTGGGATTTATGGAGCTGTGGGCTTGCAGTTTATGGGACCAGTCTTTTGCTTTATGGAGCTGTGGGTTTGGAGTTTTATGGAGCCAAATTTTGAGGATTATGTGACCAACGATTTGGAGATGATGACGGGGATTTTGAGCTTTTCTAGGGCCAAGGACTCGGGGTGAACAGAGCACAAGCAGAGGGCTGAAGAAATACCCAAAGCCTTTGGGACCTGTGTGTTTCCCACCCCACAGCCTGCAAACCCTGCTGCACGCAAGCAGCAGATGTGCACAACACCCACAGCTCAGCACCCACCTGCACCTCCACCTGTGTCACTGGGGGGGGATGCTGGTGGTCCCTTTGCTGTTTTTTCCAGTGCTTTTTGAGTCCCCACTCTCAGCCCCCACCAGCATCACCCTGGGGGCCTGCATGTTGCACTTTGCTGTGCCTGGAGGGAGCAGAGTAAGAGGCAGACGGGGCTGCATGATTTCTCCCCCAGATGAGTAATTTAGCACCAGCATTTCCAACCATACTCCTTTTCTCTGTGTGTAAGTCCTTAGCTGCCCCCACTCCTCCTGTGTGCTGGGCCACGTGGGAGTAAACGACAGCTTGATGCACAGGGTGCAGAAAATCCAGGGTTTCTGGGGCAAAAGGCTGCTTTATTGGTTCCACTGTGACCTATCCTTGGGTGCAGTAAATGTACACGTGTCCCACACAGGTCCTCATTTTGCAGGGAGGTGGCCGTGCATTGGAGCATCCTTCGGCTGGACCAAGGTGGTGTGTGATGCTCACATCCTCTAGCATCCATCTGTCTTCTGCCCAGGTGTGTTGGCACAGTTTGTTCCCTCTGGAGTGGCCTCGTGCTCCTTCAGGGTGTCCAAAAGCTTCTGGTTCCCCTGCTTCACCTTCAGTCATCAACAGGAACCCCAGAGCAGAGGGAACTGCCTACAGTGGTGGGCTGCAGAGAAGCAAAAGGAGGTGCTGAGTGGGACACAAGCCCTAGAACACTTTGAGAGCATCTGAAACCCCCCGTGCACAATGCTTTGGGTGCACCCAAGGTTGTGCCCCGAAGCTCTGGGCTGATGGCATCAGGGATGGGGTGAAATACCTGGGAAGGCTGTTCTGAGGGGGGGGCTGGCTGGCAGGAGGTGATCTTGCTCTGCTCCTGGGGCAGAAGGTTGTCTGATCTCTTCTGCAAGAGAGGGACAACAGCACAAAGTGCTGAGCATCCTCATCCCTGCGCACTGCATAGGGGAAGCTGAGGCACAGAATGCAGCTTGTCCAAAGCAAGTACTGGGAAGAGGGGGGGGGGGGGATCAGGAAGAGCAGCTGGGGAGCAGCCCCACCTGGGCAGGAGGAGCAATCAAAGCTGTGTCGTTTTCTGGGGCGGCTTCGTCTGCAATGCAATGAGTGGAGGTGAATTCAAGCAGTAGGAGTGAATAAAGGATGGTCCAGCAAGAAAGCAGCTGAAAAATCTCACCTGAAAAGTCACTGATGGAGGTGGTTGGCTCTTGTGACCCTGTGGGAGAGGGCAGACACATGTTACAATAAGGAGGCTGAAAAAGAACTGAAAAACCAGGCAGCTCCTTCTGAGATGAGCTGGGAAAAGTTTGGGGTTTGCTTGGCTCTGTGTTGAGACCGAAGCTGGCCCAGGGTGGCCCAAAAGGTGCCAAACTGAGCAGAACTGAGCCGTGCAAGGGGAGGCGATGCTTTGCAGCGTTTCTGTGTTGCTCTTGGGTGCTCTGAGGTTGCCAACACCCTTTCCTGTGGAGGCTGGGTGGTGCTGGTACCCCAGCACAGCAACTCACCGTCGCCTTTGGTCCTGCGGTAGGTGAAGAAGAGCACGAGCAGAGCAAAGACCACAAAAATGATGGGGGACCAATACCTGATGGGGAAGCCCGATTCATTTCCTATGGGAAGAGACAAGAGCTGAGGGCTCCTTGCCCAAAACAGAGCACCAGTGTCTCTGGGGCCTGCAGGACCCTCCAGGGCAGTGGTGCATCCCCGAGCCATGTCTCTTCTTCATGAGACTCACGGGTTTGGTTCCCTGGGGCATCTGCTTGCTGTGGCACAGTGATGGTGGTGAGGTTCCCAGCATCAGAGGGGCTGGGGAAGCCCACTGGTCTCGTTGTCATCCCACTCACATCCCTGGTGGCTGTGGTGGGAGCTCCCATAGCCTCCGAGATATCACTGTGCTGGGTGATGTTGTTGTCCCCCTGATCTTCTCCCTTGAGGGCGAGTGCTAAGAACAAAGTTCATTAATTCACATTAGGGCTGAATAGCCTCAGCAACACCAACACTGCACTTTCAAATGTCAGGAGCTCACGGTGAGAGCGGTTCAAATCTCCCAACTGCTCGCTAACGAAGAAGGCGCTAATGAGAGCGGCACTGCAGTGGGGGCTGTGCATAGTGGGGAAATGACACCGGGGGATTTTTGGAGCCACCAGCATTGTGCTGGCAGGGAAAGTGTGAGAGTGGTTGTACCGCAAGGCTTTACACCTCTGGCCGGGGTGTGCAGGATGTTTCCCAGCAGGCTGAGCGTGCCCAGTGACACATTGCAGCAGTGGGGACATCGTGGCCATGCGCTCACGGTGACGCAGCCACTGGAGGCAGGAAAGCTGTTAGTGGGGATGGCTGCACTCTGGTGTGCAATAGGGCCAGGACAGCATGGGAGCATGCAGAGAGCCCCAGAGATGTGCAAAGGGCTGAGGACAGCGATCAAAGCAAAGACTGAGCTCGCAGTTTGGCTTCCTGCAGCCTGGCTTTGCAGCGTCGCTCTGCGTGCCGGGCGTCACACCTGCTGCCTTCACACCACACCACCCACTCTTCTCCCACTTCCTCCTCTTCCTCTTCCCACCTCACCCTGGGTTTTGGAGCAGCCCCCGACCCCCAGTCTCACTCACCAACACCCACACAGAGCACAGCAAGGCAGAGTCCCCCGAGCCCCGCTCCTTTCGCCTCCATCCTTTCCTGAGAGCCCCTCCCCTGTGGCCCCGCAGTGCCTTCCTTCCCCTTTTTTGCCCCGCCAACGGCTTTCTGTGAGCACGAAGGTGTCGGCAACATCACAGGGTGATTCATGGCCTAAAATTATCCCCGGGGGCATTTCTGGAGCTGTGATGGGGCAGTGGAGAGAGGGCGATGGAGGTGGCGATGCCTCGGTGCCACTACATTGTGCACAGCCCCATCCGGCAGCAGAGGGCTGGGACAGATTTGGTGCCACACAGATGGAACCCTTTGGATAAACGTGATCCACAGAGCATTAAATCTGTTTTTAATTGATGGGTACGAATCCAAGAAACAGAAAAATGAACCGTGTATGACCATGCTGTGAAAATGCAGAAAACGCACCGTGGGTTTGTCAATAAGATGCTTTTCATCAAAAAAAAAAAAAAAGAAGCAGAAAGAAATGGAGCTCAGATGTGTCTTGCATTTCTATTCTGGCAGTTCCTAGAGGGCTCTCCTGTGCCAGGCACTTCAAAGGATCTCCGGTTCCATCCCTGAATTATTCAGTATCCGTGCAGACAAGACAAAGAGCAGGGGAAGCAGCACGTGGGAAGATGTGTCCGTCTGGAAATGGATGTCGAGGGGCACTGGGACAATGCAAAGCAACACATTCCCCCCTTGCAGCCCAGCCATTGCTCAGGAGCAGCCCCAGCTGTGCTCCCCATGCAGGATCTAAAGGCTGGGGGCTGCTCAGGGGGGGTTCAGAGCTGCTTGCAACAAAGCTCCAGTGCTTCACATACCAGTATATAAAAGGAGTTGTGCAGAATGGCACCAGGCCACATTCCCTGTCACGTTTTCCGCTGAGATCGAACCCCCCTCCCTCCCAGTGCAGCCTTGCACCATCTCCTGCAGGACCACACATAGCTGAACTGCAGCACAGAGCAATGCTGGGTGTAGCGATGGGGGCTGTGAGGTCGCTGCAAGCGGTGCTGTGGAAACTCAGTGCACGGCAGAGGTGCGTGTTCTCACACTTGGTTTTCTACCACATTTTGCAAAGTGTTATTTTTACTTTCTTTGCACAGTAACCGAAGCAGTAAAGTATTCAGCAAGTTAAAAAGCAAAAAAAAAAAAAGTGGCTGAAGAGTCTCATTGAACCCTCCCATCCCTCTGCACAG